AGCTTCACGTTGTTTAGAATAATTCTGTTGAAGTATTTTTGCTCGTTTCAATCACTCAGTCTAACCAGGGTAGGGTGACAGAAGAGAACCTTTGCTATAACTTTGCTTCAGAAACGTGATCAAAAAGCCTTTCTAGCTTTTTTTAATCATAGTTCTTAGAAGAGCTGACAAAAGTGTGCAATCATGTGTAAATTAATAGTAATAGTATTCAGTTCAGGGAATCAGGTAACCATGAATACTAAGAGTTTCGAAAATTTAGATGCTCAACCCGATACTTGGGGTGGCAACGATAATTGAACATCTTCTGCACAACTCAATTTTATTAACACCAACACTCTCCCCTGGTGTCCTTTATCGATAATCTGATCTATCGCACCGTAACTTCATGAAATCTCACGAGTTTGTAGACTAGAACTTTGAAAAATGTAAGAATCCTTTCTGTCAAAGTTATTTTCACGGGAGCTTTTGGAGTTGTGGTCTGTTCCTCTTCGCCAGAACCCTCTTCTCCGTCAGTTGGCAGTCCTGTAGATCCAAACTGATCCACCTCGCCTGATGACTCTTCACCGCTGCTGAATTCATCACTTAGCAACTGCTCGGGATTTTCGAAACGAATTGGCGTGACGACAACGAGTAAAGCCTAAATGGGAGCTGATTATGCAAAAGTTGTATTTGCAACTTTTATATGCTTCATTAAAGCTCATAGTTAGCGTAGCTTAGACCTATACTTGGCAATGTCTCTGCAGTATGGTGTCTTTTCTAAGAATATTGGGATCCCGTTTTTCTTCCAAAATTGTCTAGCTTTGAAGTTTTAACGGGATTTTTTATGTCACGATTCAACAAAAACAGCCTTAAAGTCCAACAACTGCACTAGTAAATTCATTAGTCGCTCTTGTATTAGAGACTCAATAACTTCAATGAGCAAAAACGAATAATTCAAAGGTTAATAAAAACTGAAGTTAAAAAGCAAAGATTGAAAAGGCATTAATCATTCGAATAATGAGTAAGAAAACAGATGTAAAACACCAACCGTGCCAAGAGCTATGAGCTTCAACATCCTACTGCGACTGTGAACATCATCTACCCATTTGTTCTGTTTTTATTCTCTGGGGGTATGTTACAAGCTGTGTTAACATAGTATTATACATAAGCTATGAAAACATGCTCATATGCACTCTTAGCGGAAGGGCATTTCGTTTAACCAAATGAATTACTAGTAATCTCTTAATCAAACTATTACCTAAATTACCATGAAAGTACTAGAATACCAACAATATTGGGTGACGAATTGTTGGGTCTAGACAGTTTTCGTTCCATTATAATTAGATTTTGAATGTTTGCCACATCCCAAGAATCCACATGCCTTCTTCTGCCCTTACTCTTCTCCTTCAAACTTTAACTTTTCTTCCATTAATGGGCGTTTTAACCACATTTCTAGAGTTTCTATTCCATTTTCACTAAATTTAATTATCTTTTTAAAAATCCCAGGCAAGAATGGATTTTCTTTCGCACAAAATGCATTCATCACAAATGGAACTTCTCTCGAAAA